TGAGGGACAAACACAGCATCCAGGTTTGTATTTTTCATCAGGGGATGTACGTGCATGATGAGGAAAAATAAATTTTTCAAGCGACAATTAATTTATGGTTTTCATGCCTTTATACTTTATCCAATTGAGTGTCTGACTATTGCGATCACAAAAAAGCATTTATCAGATTTAATTTTAAGCAATATACATACTTGATATATTGGAAAAAAATAGTGCAAATATAGCAATGATAATGACACAAAAAAAATGTTTAATTATACTGGTGTATTTTGTGGCGCTAAACCCATTTATTGTTTGCATGCATGCATACACAGACTAAAAATGCAAAAAAAAACAAAAAACATAATTTTTTTTTTCAAAATGATGCCACTCTCACAAATTGTTCTTTGCTCCCTTCAAAACAAAATAGGTTTTATTTAGAAGTTTACACTTGAATCCTATTTTGTAACAAAAATTTTACCCTGTGACATTTTATGATTTCTTGCAGTGAGTAACTATGTAATGTTAGACTATAAAACAATGTTCTTTTTGACAATTAGGTGCGATTGGTACTATAACTAAGTCTATGAAAGCATCATGGAATATATCTGGAGAGATGGACTCTTCTGATGCCTGTAGTAGTGGTTCCTCACCTAACAGTCCTGGTGGAGTACCTTTAACACCAAGCACTGATAATGTCTTCAATCATGTCAGAAAACAACCACAACCACAACCTCAGTTTGCACCGCTGGAAGAAGCAACACATTTCCCTTTCGGTGATGGTTAGTATTCTTATGCATTGTTAAAAGCAGGGATCTGTCCACATCGGTTGACACTCAGAATTTCCGGCCACTAGACCATCATTGTATTGTCCTTGTTGGTTTTAACACACAATTCAAATTTAACACAGAACAAACATTTAATAAAACAAGACACTGCTGTTCAAAATGAACGTACATGTGCGATATCGGCCTAATGTACTTTTGTTTTAACCTTCTCCGATTGACATTCAGTTTTAACAACTGAGCCAGATCGCAATAAGTCATACATCAAGATAATGGAAAGAAAGAAAATGATAAATAAATAAACAGAAGGAAGATTTACCATTGCAGTTTAACTCTGCGTAGGATTTTTTGGGTTGAACAATAACTTTCACGGGTGTAGTAAGCTGTGTTATTGTTTATGGCTAAGAAGCCATTTGCAATTCAAATTCAACACAAATTAATGATGAGTTTGTAATTTGTCAACTCTTTCTCATCAGATTTAGGTACATCAGTATGGGCATCTAAGAAACGTGAGCCACCATCCAATGCTGCACCTGGTGCTCAGAGTGAGTGGTCAGGATTTGGTGTAAGTACTGCTGCTAATTCTAGCTCACTATGGGATACAACTACACCGTCATGGACTACTGCTACTAATGCTACATCAGTAAGTATCTTAAATAGTTACTCAGGATACTAAACCCTGAAACTCATGTCATTAGAGTCATAAATACCAAAGTCATAAATACTCTGCTTGTACTTGACAACTTTTCTCTCCCTGATTTGCATCCAGCCATTGTTCCAAGGAAATCCCTTGTGGAATACCCCAGTTCAAGACAACAACTTGATCCCGTCTATCTGGACTAATGATCCTATCTGGACAACTAGTATTAGCAGTAGTGACAGCTCCTTACTGGATATCAGTGGTACTGCATCTAACACGGCTGTTCCTAATGCAGATGTAAGTAAAATACAGCGATCACGTCTTCCATTCAGTCTGCAGACACTCTCACCTACAAATTATCTCAATTTATTCCACACTGAAATGCCTCCATGTGATCCATACTTCATACATCCATGATGTAGGCATTAAAAAAGTCGCTAAAAAATTGTCATGAAAGTAAATCTGGTTATAAACAAAATTAACATCTGCTACCCCTCCCTGTGGCTGATGAATTATAAACTTCATCACACTGTTTTGTGTTTTGATTTTCAGGTGCCTGGGACGTTTGACCCATTCGATTCATTTCGCAGTAGTATCTGGGGTCAGCATTCCAATGGATCTCTGTGGAATACCGCCAATAAACAAGATGAAGACCGAAAAGATTAAAATAACAATTTGTGAACCCTCAGTCGTTTTAATGTATAATATGTAGAAATGTGCAGTTATATATAATTTAAGGGTTTTGTTACATTTGATAATTTTTTTCATACCATTTCTACATTACATGTATGGTCATCCCTATTATTCTTATCATAATGATTCTGTTATACCACTTTTATTATACCATTCTCATTTATATCATGTTATTAATTCAGCTCTTCTTATTCTGTTATACCACTTTGCCATTATCATACAGTGATGTAGAGCCCCTTTCCCACTGTTCTGCACCATTACATCACTCATTGTTATACTCCTGTGTATTATACACCCTTTCCCACTGTTCTGCACCATTACATCACTCATTGTTATACCTCTGTGTATTATACACCCTTTCCCACTGTTCTGCACCATTACATCACTCATTGTTATACTCCTGTGTATTATACACCCTTTCCCACTGTTCTGCACCATTACATCACTCATTGTTATACCTCTGTGTATTATACACCCTTTCCCACTGTTCTGCACCATTACATCACTCATTGTTATACCT